GTGGCAGAGCATTCCCACTCCTAGGTGTTTCCCTGAAAGGAATGGAAATGTATCCATAAAACAAGACTGTGCAAAGACCTGCACGGTAGCCGGATTCTTACCAACAGGCTCAAAATGGAAACAACCCAGATGTCCATCAGCAGGAGAGTGAGTAAACAAAATGTGTAGACTCACACAATGACTATGAGAGAGAGAGAGAGACAGACAGACAGAGAGAGAGAGAGAGACAGACAGACAGACAGACAGACAGATGCAGATCCACCATTCATCATGGTTCAGTCTCGAAGGCCTTATGTTGAGTGAAGGAAGCTGGATCAAACAAACCCATACTCTATTGTGTCATTTAGATGATGTTCTAAAACCAGCTAGACTGCTATACATAAATCAGGGCAGCCATTGTTTGTGGGATGGAAATTGGCTGGAAAGGACAGACACAGGAGGGCCCTGTTCCTAGTACAGCATACCTGTCAGCCAGGCCCGAGGGCCACACAGCTGCACTGCCACCCTGGGCAGACAGAGCTATCACCACCCTACAGAAAGCAGCTCACCCTAAAGCTGACTCCTTTAATTCCAGCACTCAGAAGACCAAGGCATGAGGCTGAGTCAAGCCAGCCTGGGCTTGAGAGTAGCACCCTGTTTCAACAAACAACAGAATCAGCTCCTAGGAGAAAGGGAAGAGAGTGTGCTTAACCCTTCACACAAACATTCATAGACAATATAGTGTTGGAGAGGCAGACCTCAAAAACAAAACTGAAGCTCTCTTAGCCTTTGGCTTGAAAATAATTTTCCAAGCATGGGGTAAGTGACGGGTAGAGAAGTTACATGGGTCACAACCATACTTGTGTTACTGGGCAGGGTGGAGCTATCATTCCCTTCGGTGTTTCTGCTTTTGTTACTTCCCAGCTTCTACAAAAATTCTTATATGTAAAATGTGAAGCTGGTGCCTGGAGTTTCTTATGGAAGTAGAAGTTAAGCCCCAACAGTGAGACCTCTGTGTTGAAGCTCTGGGGCTTCACTCTTCTGTGGACACTCAGGGAGTGGGGAGGAGCTGTCTCCCTGAAGTTAGGGCAAGTTGCTGGTTCAAGGGCAGGGCCTCCTCAGTTGGGGTAATTCCTCTCTGGCGACAGGTGCTTGGAGACACTGCAGTGCTTTTGTTCTTTAAAACGTGTCTATAGAGGACTAAATGCTGCACTTTAAGGGAAATCTTACTATACTGCCTGAACTGGTTTCTCTCTGCCCACTGGGTCCCTGAAGTCGCTATGAAATAGCCACTCTGAGGCACATTATCTGTTACAATTGTTTGGCAAATGGCTCAGGCTTCCTACTGGCTAGCTCTTTCTCTTAACTATCAACCCATTTCTAATAATCTGTGTATCATTTCCACATGGGCTTGGCTTACTGATGGTGATGCCCTGGCATCTTGACTCCCCAGAGGCTACATGGTGTCTCCTCCAACCTGCCTATTACCTCTCTCTATCCCTGTTCAGATTTCCCATCTGGCTTTACTCTATTAAGCCGTTGGCGGAAACAGCTTTATTTATCAACCAATAAGAGAAACTTACAGTCACAGCATACAAAAGGACATCCCCCATCACAATGGCACACAAAAGCCTTAGTCTTTGTTCCTTACATATAAACTGTAGCATTCTCCACACTTACCACATCTTTCCAACTTTTCTGAGACATGCCTTTAATGTCAGTTATGTATGCTCCATATTCATAGTCCCTAGCTTTAAGGATCAACAGTGGAAAGGTAGTGCTAAAAATCTGCATGAAGCTGTTGTTCATTTGGGAGGAGGCTTTGGAGTTCTAAGGAGGGAGCCCAAGTCCATGTTCCTCCTCTCCCTCAGCACCCACGGCTCTCTTTGCGTTTCTGACACAGCATTGTTGTTGTGGAATAACCGGACTTTTTAAAAAGTGTCCCTAGCAGATGTTTCCGTCTATAACCTCCAAAGTAGAGCCTGATCCTATCTCACCAGGAATCAAGCACCAGCCTGGTCCTTCATAGTAGCAGTAAAGCCTTAGGTTTTGAAGACAGTCAGAGAAGCCAGTTCAGCCCCTGCCTAAGTTGCCTGGGTAGAGGGTGGAAGTTGACCTTGTTGTCATTTAAATAACACATGTTTTCTATAGAAAAATGGAAGTAGAGATAGACAAAGAGATATGAGAATACAACTCATTATTGCTGCCACCCAGACATGTGTTTGATGTGAAATTCCATCTTTTTCCCAATCATGTAAGCAGCTTGCATGTGTGACAGGGTAGATCCTGTCCAGGTCTCTAGTATGCGAGCCTCTCCACTGATTTTGCATTCTGGAAAGTTTTTGTTTGGTTAGTTCGTTGATTTTATTTTCTCTCTGAGGCATGGTCTTACTATGTAGCCCTTCCTAGTCCAGAACTCACTGTAGACCTGGCTGGCCTTGAACTCACAGAGATCAGTCACCTCTGCTCCTTGGATTAAAGATGTGCACCACCACACCTGGTCTGCAAAGTTTATTAAAGGTGACAGTATAACACAACAGAACGAAAACACGACTGTGTCTTGATGGAGACTAGCAGTGTGTATGATGCCTAATGGCCAAAGATGCAAGGACTTGCAGGTATATGATTGGGGGAAATATCCTTCCTCTTTTCCCTTCAACCAGTGATACTTCAAATTTACTGAAATCAACTGGGATTGGGCAGACAGTAGCTGGGGAAATGTGTGTATGTTTTTTCCCACACTGGGCACCACAAGAAAGAGAGTTCCCAGCTCCTCTCTAAGACCTAGAAACTCTACAAGGAAGAGAGAAGATGGGAATGCAGGCAGTTGTCAAGAAAGAGAAAATGATCTTCAAGGCTGAGAATGAGTCTGAAGGGCCAAGGTTTCCTGGTATTCCGTTTAATCCTGGTGTCTTGTTTGACCTGGGGTTTCTTCCTCCATGAGAGAAATTTAATCCTTCTCATTGATGGCATTCCAGTAAGAAGACTGAAGGCCATCGGGATCGTAGTTGCTGGGTATGTTCTCCAGGTACAAGCAGGAACGACAGAGAAAAGCCCACCAATACTTTCTGACCCTTATATGCATGACTAAAATTACTCAGTGCTCCCCAATGCAGGATTTGGGGGTGATGTTCCCTGGGTTTCCTCAGTGTGTCTGGAAAGAACTCTTCAGGTTTAGTTTGAGGCTTGGACCATTGTTACTGCCTTCTCCACAGACCCCATGACAGGATCCCTTGGAGGGGTCTTGGAACCCAGCTGGTTAATTAGCAATTAGGTGACATCTCTGTGTCCATACAGTAAGTGTAATGTTTATTTCACTGCAGACTAGAATCCATTCCGGAAGCCATTATAGCCCTTCTCATTTCTATGCTATAGAGTGCTCTCAAGAATATGCTTGTCTTGCGTCTTCATGCTTTTCCTTCTTGGGATGAATTCTCAGAAGGTAATTGGTAGGAAAATATACTCGCGTATTTGAATGCTTTTAAATGTCTCTTTCAACAAATGGATGCTTTCAATTTTGGGAAAAGGCAGGGGCCAAGCTGTGCTTTTGTTTCCTCTGCCTCAAACTTCAGTGTGTCAGGACAATTGTCATGGATGCCAAGAGCCACAAGCAGGGCCATAAGGTGGAACTCAGAGGCAAAAGGCTGTTTGTCCAGAGGGGCTGTGTAGGTGCTCCTGACTAGGGATGCTATCACAGAGACCCTGCAGCAAAGTGGCCTGAGTTGATGCTCAGATGTCAGGCTGGGACCAGGGTTGCTCTAGGATCCCCCTGGTCTTCCACCCCTGCAGTCTCTGTGAGGCGGTGAGATGACAGTCTAGGTCCCTCTGCTCTTTTCCCCCTTCCAACCTCACCTCGGCGACCCTCACCTCTGTGAACTTCACCACTGTGCACTAAGTTCCAGCAAAATATGTCAATGAAATGGAAAGAAAACCTAGGGAGCAGCAGGACCCAGCCATACTTTAACTCTGCAGCCTTAGCCCCACAGCTGCCCTGGGAAACTGCCTTGCCAGTCATCAGCCGGCTTCATGCTCCTGACTCTTGTTTACTCAAAACCAAACTGTGAGGAGCCAGGACGCTACAGTGCCCATTTCTGTTCAGAGCAAGCTGTTCCTGCCGCTGCTTGTGTTCCAAGTGTCTCCCTTACCACAGTTAGTTGTGGCTCTCTGCCTCCCAGCCTCTGTGTTGCCAACCCAAACTGTCCTGGGCTTAGCCTGCTGGGAGCAAGGAAGTCCACCAAAAGCGGTGCTCTGTGCCATCTGTCCCCTTTCCGTCGTCTCCCTCTATCCCACTCTAGCTGTCTTTGGTGTGTGGTGTTTGGGGTTGGTTTGTTGTGCTTCTGATGCTGTTGTTAGTTGGGGGAGGGGATGCTGACACAGCATCTCACATGACCAGGCTGGCCCTTGACTGATGCTCTTGCCACCATCACCGGCTCACTCTGATTGTTTGTCTTCTTAAGTCCAGCATGTGGTCCCCTGCCTGAAACCCATCTCAAAAAAATAAAATAAAAGGCAGAAAAATGGTTAAAAACTACAAATAAAACCTAACAAAGATGCTCTCCCATAACTGCCATGCTTACCTATAACAGACCCCACATTTTCAACTCCCTGAACCCCAGATCTCTAACATGGACATCTTCCACTTCCAAATGGGGGGAAGCAAATACCTTTATGCTGGTCAGCCATGGGAAAGTGGACCATTGCACAACAAATAAAGGGAGCCCCAGGAAGCAGTTTATTCCTCAAGAAGGATGGCTCTATCATTTCTCTCTGGGGAGGGCGGTGGATTTTGTTCAGGAGGGAGCTTGACAGTCCAGGGCAGGACAACAGCACAATTCAAATCGAAAGAATGGAGGTGAGAGCCACCGGAGACCAGACAAGGAGTCAGTCCATCTGTCCCCGGCCTATCCTTGGATTTAATACTTTCCGTTGTTTCCATGTTGCCGGCTGTTGTACACTTATTAAGTCACACCCCACTGTTTGAAGGAGAACCTATAATAGGCTGTGACTTGTGTTTCTTGCAGGCAACTATGGTCCTGAGCTCTGCATACTTCTGGTTGGGATTGTTCCTGGTTCCAACTGCGTGTTTGATTGAAGATGTGGTGTGGAGAGCGTAAGTAAATAGTCAAGTCCTTCCTTCGGGCCTCACACCTCTGTTCTTGCTGCTACCCCTCACGTGGGGGCGAGGGGAGTAAGAAGAAACAGGACTCCTGACACTTGCCAAAGAAAGGGTTTTTGTTGTTGTTGTTTTGGGTTTTTTGTTTGTTTTACATTTAAGCTTGTGCTTCGTTTTGATTGGAAAACGCAGCGGAAAAAGGAGTACCAAGCAGAGATCACCTGGCAGTCAATAGGGGCGTTGCCTTGTGTGCAACTGCAAGGCTGTTTCCAAACACACACGCACTTCATCATGCTTTGGAAACACGACCAGACACTCATTTCACATCTTAAAGCTGATGCCAAGCAACCACAAATGGTGCCTGGCTCACAGCCCCGTGTGCAGTAGAAAATCATATGCATGTAAGTCACTTCCATGACAAAAGTGAACGAAGCCTCATCCTTCTAGCCAACTCACAGCAGGAACCCTGCCAATCAAATTCTTCTCAAGAGCGGATTTACAACTCTAAGAAAATCACATCACAAATATAAAATTATAATGCAGATTACATGGAAATTGATTCAAACTTGCTTCCTGCTCCTATGTTTGAAATGTTATCATTCCTAGAGTATAAAAGAAGCACTGATGTCCCAAGAGAGTATAACCTTTAATTCCGTTCAGGGGTAGCTGAGAGAGCCTATAATGCCCATGGTATTGGTTTAGGTTTGAATGGGCCCAGTTCCTCTTAGAAATATGGCGAAGTTCCCTGAAAATTGAGACTTTAGCTTGGGTAAACCACAATTATTTCAGGGCCCTGAGGTAGCAAAATGAGACTTTTAACCCAAGCCTTCCAGGAAAAGACATGGGGTCTCATTTTTACCTCGTCATTCCTCCCACACTTGGCAGGAATTATTCTTGCCCGATGGGGGTATCTTTTGAAAAAGTCTTCTTTTGGACATTATCTTGACAACTGATTATGCTGATGCAGAGAGAGGAGAGGCGATAATTTTCATAGAATGAATATTTTGTTTATGTTTTTCTTCTGCTAAGTTTTTTGACTACTACTAAAAACCAAATAATTTCAACTTCTTAAATGCTTTCACTAGCCAACTGCTTCTGTTTCATTTGTTATAACTATGTTCTGTAAATGGAGTAATTGGGTCCTTTGGGATTGTTATAGCCGGGAAAGGTATTTCTTTAACCTAACAGATGCACTGTGAGGAAATAGTCATTCTGTTACTTGTTCCTTGAGCCAGTAGGCCCAATTTTGGCACAACATGTTTATTCCCTAGCTGAATTTGTACAGCTCTGCAAAAAAGTTAGTTTTAGGGGCGAGCTTCTTCTTGGCTTGGCTATCTGATGGGAAGTAGTTACAGGCTCACAAATTCATGTCCAACTATCTTAATTCAGCTATCTTAAATTAATGTCATGAAAACAGATTTTTATGGAGGTTCATTCCTTCTGCCAAGTGGGTCTTTAGCAAAAGTATCTTTGTTTCATTTCGAAGAGATGTTTATGGATTGCTAAGGATCTGCCTCCTCCTGTATCTACAGAACCTCCTCCAATGCATTTCAAGTACAAGTCCTCTGTCACCATGAAGCAAATGATCTCCCTCCAGCAAGACTTGTCTCAGTCCCATTTGTAGGACGTAGGCTATAAAATTAGCACCATTTATATTTTAACGATGATAAATCAGATTGTACTGCTTCCAGTTTCAGCATATGGAAAGAGTAAAAGTCACTTTCTCTCCAGGGAGTCTGCCAGCTGGGTTCCAACCGGAACCAGAGCCCCACAGAGAGGTCTGAGGAGCCAGTGGGGAAGGCTACCCTTGCCTGTTGTATTGTTGAGCCCCTGGCAGCTGCTGCCTGCTGCCTGTCAAGGATGGCAAGCGCAGCTTCTCCTAGGAGTGGCATTCTATCATCTGACAGAGCCAGAAGGAGCCTTACCGATTTGCATAACCACTTTCTGAAAGCATTTTGCTCTTGCATTATTGAGAGGAGCTGTGTGTTAAATTAGTTGACATTTGAAAGTGCCCACAGTGTATGCCCATTTGCAGTGTCTGTTTGCTGTCTAACCTTGTGCCGTCCCCATCCCGAAGACCAAGAGTTTTATGAATGTGTGTGGGCATTGTCCCATGGAGCATGGGGTCCATATCCTATGTGATATCATACTCCGAGCTGGAAACATTTGCCAAGGCAAGTAGATCTGGTGGCTCCTCCCAAGGAAAGAAAACGTGTGGTAGATGATTGCCCCTGGCAAAGCCACAAAACTCACCTGTGATCTTCGTGTCCGAACTGAAGTTATACAAAGTTTTAGAAACCCCCATACCCCACCACGCCCTACATCAGTGATCCTCAGTCTGTGGGTCGCAACCCCTTTCGAGATCACATATTATATATTTACATTACGATTCGTAACGGGCAAATTACAGTTATGAAGTAGCAAACAAAATAATCTTATGGCTGGGGGTCAGCACAACATGAGAAACTGTATTAAAGGGTCGCAGTATTAGGAAGGTTGAGAACCACTATGTCTCCATCCACCCATCATTTGATCCCCCCAGTCCTGTACTAGTAAATCTTCTCCCACTGAGCTACACTCCCAGACCTTCATTTTTGGTTTTTGGGTTTTTTTTTTTGGTTTGGTTTGGTTTTTGTTTTGTTTTGATTTGGGTTGGGATTTTTTGAGATAAGTTCTTTCTGCGTAGCCCAGGCTAGCATTGTTGTCAAGATTCTCCTGCCTATGTTTTATGAATGCTGCTGGTACTACAGGCACTGCCACCCCAGGACTGGTTGGCATGTCTTCAAATCTTCATCACAGAGCAGGCCTGACTTTTCGAGGGGACATCTATGAGTGCCTAAGACAGTGGGTGACTTGTTTCTAGGCACCTCTTACTTCCCTTGGCCAGCCCTGCACTCCCATTCCAGGACCTGGGCTGCTAAGATTACAAAGAGAGAAATGAAATGAGGTAATTCACTTTCTCACCAACTTTGTCAGCTTTCTGGACGAAGACCCATTTTTAGACTATCCTAAGTCAGATTTGGAACACCATAAAAAGCCTGCCCTATTACTTCTCAAACGCTTTATGAGGGCTCAAATGGTCCTATCGTTTATTAGCATAATTGACTATATGTGACCCCTGGCTAATGAGGAGTCTTGTTAGACTTGTGGAGCGCAAATTGTCCAGAACTGTTTTAATATCCGTTAGCCTGCGTGCTCCCAAAATGCTCACCTGTGACAGCATGCTTACACAAGCTGCCAGGGTATGGCTCTGCACCCGGGAGAAATTGGTTACTGTACTTCTCTATAAATGGCATAAAGCTCAAGGCCATGGAGGAACATGCTTTATTTTATCAAACTATTCTCCTGTCTTTTTTACTAGGCATCATACAATACATTCCCCAGTTCCAGAATGACTTCATTTCCTTATAATTCCACATAGGTAGTTAAATGGCAATAAAAGCAATTTCTGTGTACAAATGAGCCTTGATTGGTTTTTTTTTTTAACATCCTAACCAAACCAATTTCTCTTGAAGTACATTTTCATCCACAGTTGGAATTTGATGTTTCCAGTTGATTTGCTGTTCTTGCATGCAAAAGAGGGAACTCAGATAGTAAGTTTTAGAAACAAAGATATGAAAAGTTAAAGATACCAACCTGACCTGTTTTTTTTAAAGTACCTAAGGGGACGTGAAAGCAGAAAAGGACCAAGACCAAGGGGAGATGGACTAGAGAAAGCAGTAGATGAGCTGAAAATAATCATATACGTCAAATATACACACATAAATATAAGTGTACATTCATATGGATGTGTGAAAATCTCGCAGTGAAGCCCACTCTTTTGTACAACGAAAGCTAATTTTTAAAAAGTCCATTAAAAACTAGAGATGCCTCTTCCTGGATCAGAAAGCTCACAGTGACTCATCTGTCAACCGCCAGATATCTCCATTCTATCCCTTCTGTAGTCATCTGGTGTCTTAGATGAGATGAGATGAAGGAACCTGGACCACTGGGGAAAAGACACAGAAAATCTGACTTCAGAACTATGACCCAAACCCCAGCTCCCAGTGAGGCAGGACACCACATCAAGGGCAAATGCTTGTAGCTTTGCCTTGATAACCGGTCAGTGTGAAATCACTGCATGCATGTGTTACAGGGAGACTTCAGATCACTTTTATACCTACTTCGGCCCTTAGAAGGTCATAGTACTTGAGGAAGTGGCTTTACATTTCTGGCATCCTTGCACTCAAGTGCTACTTGCCTCCCTAGGCTTACAACCCAGGACTCGCTCTCAGCAGTGGCTGAGTTCCAAGCCTAGCTCACAGAAGCCGGCATGGCACAGCATCCTCAGAGAAAACAGTTTATGGGTTTATGGAAGTGAGCAAGCCATTGCCCTCCCAAGGCAAGGATCTGCATGCTGGATGTCACATTCTTTATTTTTGGCCTAGGCTTCAGGGTCCATTATCCTGCTCCCACTCCATGCCTATTCCTCCTATCTCAAACCCAAGCTACTTTGCCTCTCCTGGCCCAGAAGGCATCATTAGGGCTAGCATAGAGTTTAACTGTCCTGTGCAGAAAGGAGGGCAATGGGGGAAGCATGCCCACCCCAGTGTAAAGACTTTGAGCAGGGTGGAGCATGCCACTTAGTTTATTATCAACACAGCCCATAAGATTGTATGGGACCAGGAACATTCAGCAATATTGGACAGCATACGTTTTAATGTCCTTTATCTCTCCTGCAAAATATTGGCCATTTTCTCTTTTATTGTTTAACTTAAAATCCCATGGTCCCCACTTTGAACTTGGTATTTTATCAACACTGAGCTTCAGAACTCCGTTTGAAGTAGTTAAGGTATTATGTGTTAAAGCTTGTGTGGTTTTGACTTGTTTACTCTGTGGGGAAGGATGGCAGGCGCCTCTCCCATGTCTTCCTGCTAGTACTCCATTACAGATTAGCATGATGTGCGGGTGACCCGGGTCCACTGTCCTTACATGCAGAGGGCTGCAGGGAGGAGCAAACCCCATCTCCAAAATGTTCCGAGTCACCATTTTCACTTCTGAGCAGTCACACTCAGCTCTGGTTACTATCCTATCTGCATCTTGGTGCCAGACAAGCTCCTTAAACAGAGTTCATCAGCCAGAAACTGTGGCAAGCTGCTCCTTAGGAAGACTGGCAGCGCTGCTCACTTAGGATTGCCATGAACTTCTTTCTGCAGTGTTTGCTTCCTCTATCTAGCCTACTTTTTTTTCTTTTCCTTTTTGTTGTTGTTAGTGGTACTGGTGGTGGTGGTGATGGTGGTGATGGTGGTTGTGATGGTGGTGGTGGTGGTGATGGTGGTGATGGTGGTTGTGATGGTGGTGGTGATGGTGATTGTGATGGTGGTGATGGTGGTGATGGTGGTGATGGTGGTTGTGATGGTGGTAGTGGTGGTGATGGTGGTGATGGTGGTTGTGATGGTGGTGGTGATGGTGATTGTGATGGTGGTGATGGTGGTGATGGTGGTGATGGTGGTTGTGATGGTGGTAGTGGTGGTGATGGTGGTGATGGTGGTTGTGATGGTGGTGGTGATGGTGATTGTGATGGTGGTGGTGGTGGTGATGGTAGTGGTTGTGATGGTGGTGATGGTGGTGATAGTAGTGGTTGTGATGGTGGTGATGGTGGTGCTGGTGCTGGTGGTGGTGGTGGCAGTGGTGCTAGGAATTGAGCCTCAGGCCTTGTGCAGAGTGATAAGTGCCCTACGACTGAGTTACATTCCCAGACTATTTCTTCTTACACGCCTTTTCTTTACCTATACATTTCTGACCAGATTATCAGTTTTAGTTTTGTGTAGTTTTTGCTTAATTTCAAATTTTGCAAAATTAAAGCACAGACGTAAGATTTATTTAATAAGGAAATAGAATGGAGAGAGAGAGAGAGTTAATTATTAAGCTGGGGAAGTGGAAGGGCAGCTCAGCGGCAGAGCATTTGCCTTGCATGTACTGTGCCAGGACTCAATTCCCAGCAAAGCAAAAACAAAAAGACATAAAACGTCTTGAAACCAGAAAGTGAGCTCTTTAGGAGACACTGCCTTGGTGATGACAATGTAGTTTTGGTTACACCAGGTTGTGCACAGCCATGGGCCACAGCACAGGAGTTAGATATATGAATTCAACAGGATATGGTTTAGCTTCCATTTAGAGGAACCTGAGATAGAAAGATTATTTGACCATAGCAAGGGATTTTGTTTAGCCAGGAAAAGGGAGCAGGTAATTCCTCCATTACCCAAGAGGAACCAGGCCTCAGGCCAGGTTTCCCATCATGGCAGGAAACCAGTACTGGGTTTCCTAAGTAAGCCAGGGCCAGAGGAGGATGGGAAAACTGCACTGGGTGTGTATGGACTCCAAACCTCAGACCAAGGTTTTGCACTGAGAACATGAGCTCTGGTGTCCTAAACCTCATCTCTGCTGGGGCAGTGGCTCTTTCCACAGTAAACAGAGAGACAAGAACTGCTAACCCCAGGCCCTGTGACCCGGCTGAACAGAGCAAGGAGCCAGAGGCTATACCATGAGAAAGATTTAAACTATCTCGTGTGTTTCATACCCTACAGTGAAAGCTCTAGGGACCATCTCTTTGATCTTTGGGCTCCTCTTGTCGTTGGTTATAATTGCCTGGTCCTCAGATTTTATGGGGTATAATACGTACATTTCACAATCTAGGTCTCATCTGGGGTACTCAGGATGCTTTGGTCTGGGGACATGAAGCTCCTGTGGCATGCTCAGCTGGTTCAGAGAGAGGGCACCTAGGTATGGTGGGGAGAGTGATCAGCCATCTTCACAGCTGTGTCACGGTCACATGCCATCTTCTCTGTCTGTTTCTTCTGCTCCAGGGCCAAGCACACCTGCAAAAAGACGCTGCTGGAGGAGGTGCAGGAGCTGGAGACCAAGTCCCGAGTGATGGGGAAAGCAATGCTGCGAGACAGTAATGGAAAGAGGTAGGCTGCCCCCAGCATGCTCTCCTGTCCCCTGCCGTCTCGTATTTCTCCTCCTTGGCTAGTTTTCAAGGGGAGCATGGTGGGCTCAGTTTCAGGCGTTCTGATTACATTCTAGGAATGCAGTCATGATGAGCTTTAGATTGCATCTCCTCAGAAGCCATGAGAATCTGAGTTTCTGGGTCACTGGGCCTGTCCTCAGGTAATAGTAGTGGTTTTGTTGGGTTTGGGATGTGGACAGAACAGTCTTGTGAATAATTGACAGCATAGCAATATTCTCTTAAAGGGGAGGAGATGGGATTTAAAGAGGATCTAAGAGCCAGGCCTTTTTGTTTCAGGCCCAATCATGTTACCTAAGGCTGAACAAACAGAGGAGTTTGTGGTTAATGATGGAAAACTTTAGCTGCCCAGGAAAGTTTCATTACTGTCTAATTCAGCAGACCTGAGGGGGTTTCCCCCTTTAGTTATATTTTATGAGTATGGGTGTTTTGCCTGAATCTGATGTATGTCTGTGTACCATGTGTGTGGTACCTCTGGAGACCAGAGGAGAGGGTCAGATCCCCTGGGTATAGAGCTGCAGAGATGGTTATGAGTCACTATCTGGGTACTAGGAATTGAACCACAGTCCTCTGTAAAAGCATCCAGTACTCTTAGCCACTGAGCCATCTCTCCAGCCCTCTGAATGGGGATATTTTTGATGAATTATCATGACTTAGATTTGAGAAAGATTGAGAAGACTCTTGGAATATGTCTTAAAGTTTCTATTGTTGTGAAGAGACACCATGACCATGGCAACTCTTATAAAGAAAATATTTAATTGGGTGGCTTACAGTTCAGAGGTCCAGTCCATTATCATCATGGTAGGACATGGTGGTGTGCAGGCAGACATGGTGCTGGAGACGTAGCTGAGAGTCCTACATCCTGATCCAGAGGCAACAGGAAGTGAACTGAGACACTAGGTAGTATCTTGAACATAGGAGACCTCATAGCCCGCCCCCACAGTGATACACTTCCTACAACAAGGCTATACCTACTCCAACAAGGCCATACCTCCTAATAGTGCCACTCTCTGTGAGTTTATGGGGGCCAGTTACATTCAAATAGCAAAGCACAGAAGCTACTGCTTCACCTCCTTTGTCACCAAGTGTCCAGCTGCTTGTCCCTAAACACAACAGATGACTGCGAAGAGTGTTCCTTTCCTCCCATGAGTTCATCTAATCAAGATAAATTTATCAGAAATCTGTATGGCTCTAGGCCAAGGATCATCTGCAGCATAGTAAGATGGCCATGTTTAATACAGAAATCTAGAAAATTCTGAGTGTTCCTGTCCTAAGTGCTTTCTTCTGGAAGGAAATCTATAGCTAACTTCTAGTGAAGCAAAGATCTAGAAGTACTTCTAGAAGTTTCTACTTTGTCTTGCATTATACTTGGTTGAACTATCTTTTACAGCAATAGAATCAAAGATACTTGGTTTGTAACCAAGGGAATTTGGGCTGGGACTGTAGCTCAGCTCATAAAGTGTTCAAGGGCAAGCATAGGGACCTGAGTTCAATACCGAGCGTGTAAAAAGCCAAGCACAGCAGCACTTGCAAGCCCATCACTGCAGAGATGTCTGGGCAAGATGGTGGATTAGAAGCCTCACCACTGGGGCTCCATGAAAGAAGTCAGTATAACACACAGTGAGTTCTTCACCACAGTACTGGGGGAGGCAGAGATGGGTGTATTCCTGAAGCTCCCTGGCCAGCTGGTCTACTCTAGTTAGAAACCAGACTCCAAAAATTAAGGTAAGAGGAATGACACCCAGGGTTGTCCTCTGGCCTACACACACACACACACACACACACACACACACACACCACCCCACACTTACATACAAGCAAAGAATCAAGTATTTTGGAGGTTTTAGAAATATTGTTTCAAAAGTTATAGATATTTGAGGGAAGTTTTCAGAGCATGTGGTTAGCAATGTAGTTTTGGTTTTGTGTATGGCTTAGTTTAAAAATTTTTTTAGATTTATTTACTTAATTTTGTGTATGTGAATGTTTTGCCTGCATGTATGTATTTATACCATATGTGTGCCTAGTGTTCTCTGAGGTCCATGGATCCCTTGGAACTGGAATTACAAATGGTTGTAATCTACCATGTGGGAGCTGGGAACTGAACCTGGGTCCTTTGTAAGAGCAACAAGTGCTCTTAACCACTGGACCACCTCTTCAGCCCTTATGGAATCCTGGTTAATAAGTGAGTGCATTAAGCATTGTGTTCATATCTATAAGCCAACAAAACAAAAATCACTGTCTTCATAAGCTTAGAACTGGGAATAGGGATATATAGCTCAGTGGTAAAGTGCTTGCCTAGCCCTGAATCCCATCCCCATCACTAGAAGAAAAACAAAAACAGATAAATGTAACATTGTGACTAAGTGGCAGGATTCTTTTATATAGAAAACACTTTAGATGCAGTATTCAATACCTGTTAGATTTCCCACGACCTACACCGTTCTTTGAGACATGAAAACGTCATATTTATACACTGCAAAAATTAGAGTAGGGAACTCAGGCAAAGTGAGATTGATAAATAGTCACAAGGATAAAATGTACAACAATGGGGTAAGCACAAGTTTCATCTTCAGAAGGCTATGGCCCTCTTGCATATCACAAATTCTCAAGTCCATGTGAGATTGCTAAGCAAGCATAAAGAATTTCTAAGTAAAGCACAATTGTCAATTCTGATGAGATATACCAGAGGAGAATATTCCATATAATGTGGTCTGCGTTTGCACAGCTCTGGGCAGGGGCTTCATATGGCCCCGAAGGTTCTTTATGTGGCCTGGACTTGGCAGCGTGGACAGACAGTCAAAGGACCATCTGTCTGGGACCATCTGAAAAGGCTTTCATGCTGGAGATGAACTGGGAAAGAGCTTAAGGGATAAAGAACGCAAGAGGGCTGCAGCAGTGGGTGTGTGTCAGGCAGAGGTCACCCCTGCAAAGACATGAGTGAAGATGCGCAGGCACCGCCATCGCCTCGCCCTATTTACAGGGCCACGGGCACTTTGCAGAGATCTGGAGTCTGGCTGGGTCATCAACCGTGTGCCCCTGGGCAATCCAGAAACACAGTAGCACTGTCTCTTCGTCTGTCATAGACAGCTAATACTTTGAGGGGAAGAGGAAGGTTTATGAAATGATGGACAGCCTGAGCCATTGTGAGATTGCAGCATCTCAACTGAGTGTCCGGCCGGAGAGTCTCATATGAGAGGATCTATGGACTGTTTACCGTCAAAGAAGACCTTCTTCATAAAATAGATGGTATCTTTTTGTTTTGTTTTCTGTGCTGTACTAGGAAGTGAATTCAGGGCCCTGTGTATGTTCTACCTCTGAGCTACACAAAGCCCTTGGATTTGTCAACAGAGAGGGGACAGAAACACAGCACCATGCCATTAGCCTCAGCAGCCTGAGGAGGCTCTGGCTGAACTGGATTTGAGGCTTCAAGTCAGAAAAGAATCTCAGGCTGAACCAGTATAAAGCAGAATTAGAGATTTTTATTGAAGATAGTTTAAGATAGGCCCGAGCATGAGGATTAGGAGAACAAGACACTCAGGAAGTCATCCCCATGTGTAGGTCTCTGCTTCTCAAGGGGGAGTGGAGGGAGATTAAGACATACTCAAGTTTAGGTATGGGCTCTTCAAGAGGGAGAGGCAATTCCGTATCGTAGAATTATTCTCATATGCCTTTTTGGTGGCTCTGAAGTTCCATTTCAAAGGTTTTTAGGACTCCCTCCCCCCCCCGCCACATTACTCTCTTGATAAGAGAAATTATAAGATAGTCAGGGGTACCTTGGGCTGATAGAATAAAATCAGGATCCACTAAGATTGTACTATGGGTGCAGTACATGTCCTCTCCCTGTAAATTGAGTTTCTGGTCAGATTCCTAGAAAATTGCAGGTTTACGGTGGTTGTTAATTACTGGGATTCTTGCTTCATTGCTGATGAGAGGTGTTGGGTGAGTGGCCCATTTTCTTCTCACTTCTCCAAGACTTTCCTGCCTTTTAATCTTGCCTTTAATCTGTGTCTTCCTGTCTGTCTAGTGGCAGAATAACGGGCATGTGCCACCTCACTACGCCACAGTCAGTTTTCTGTGCAATGGGAACAGCCAGGTCTGGACACACAGGGCAAGCATCCTACCCCTGGCCTCCCTCCCCAGGCTTGTGAATGTTTTAAACACCTGCCAGGTGCGGTGGCAGGCACCTTCAATCCCAGTACTCAGGAGGCAGAGGCCGGCAGACCTCTGAGTTCAAGGCCAGCCTGGTCTACAAAGCAAGTCCAGGACAGCCAGGACTACACAGATAAACTGTCTTGAAAACGAAAAGAAAAACCAAATAAACAAACATCCACTTAGAAAAATCCACCCGCAAATGTTCAGGCAGATTTCAAAAAGGAAAATTTGTGTGTGGTATTCTACTGGTCACATTTGAAGATCCATCCTCCTAACCTAGGATGAGTTTCATGACTTTGTAGTTGCCATGACTGCATATGTACACATTGATGAACATGTAATTACATGTGCGCACATCTAGATGAACACATGTTCAGAGTGTACCTACCATGGAGAGGTCAGCCTTTCTTATTGTCCAGCGCTTCATTCTGGATTGGAGGGGACCGGAGTGTGGGGACCGGAGTCCTCCCCACTACCTGCCCCTTGGTTTTCCCCTTCTGACTGTACCAGGTTTGCTGTAGGCCATCTGCCCACTAGATAATGGAGGCCTGCTGTTCTCCTCAGGAGGCCCTTTCGTCCACTTGACCTCCTGAGAGCTGCCTCATCCCTTCTTCTTTGATCACTTTTGTTTGCTTCTTCCACACCTGCTTGGATTCCTGGGCAACTCCGTGCTGGGAGGGGCCAGTGGGGGATGGGCAAGAGGGTTGAGCTCAACCTTCCTTCTGAAGCTCTTCTAGACTCTGCCTAAAGTATTGATCACACTGGCCCCCATTTGACGGTCAGTTCATCTCC